TTGCCTCTGGGGGATGGGGAGGAGAAAATACAAAAAAAATGCTTGTGAGTCGAGACAAGGACAGGGAGATATCACTCACCAATTACAGTCATGGACAAAACAGACTCCACTTGGGGGGAAAAAAAATCCATTTTAATTTGTTATCAATCAAATCACCGTAGGATAAAGAGAAATAAACCCAAATCTTAAAAACACCTTCCTCCACCCCTCCCTTCTTCCCTGGCTCAACTCTGCTCCCACAATTTCTCTTCACCTCCTCCTGCCAGTAGCACAGGGGGACTGTGAATGGGGGTTGTGGTCAGTTAATCACACATTCTTTCTGCCACTCCTTCCCCTTCAGTGGGAGGACTCCTCACACTCTTCCTCTGCTCCAACACAAGGTCCCTCCCACAGCAGACAGTCCTCTGTAAATTTCTCTGATGCGAGTGCTTCCCACAAGCAATGGTTCTTCACAAGCTGCTACAGCATGGGCACCTTCTATGAGGTCCAGCCCTTCACTAAACAGACTGCTCCAGCACGGGCTTCCTACTGAGTCACTGCCTTCTACAGGCACAGCCATCTGCTCCAGTGTGGGGTCCTTCACAGGCTCCAGGGTAGATCTCTGCTCCACCATTAACCTCCATGGGCTGCTGTAGGGGGACATCCTGTCACCTCACCATGGGGAATCTCTGCTCTCGTGCACCTCCTTCCCTTCCTTTCTTCACTGACTTCGGTGTATGTGTAGCTGTTTCTCCCACACCCCACTCCTCTCTCCACTACAGGTACCTTCCACTGGCTCCTGAAGAACTACAGCTCTTGGGCTGTGGATGAAGTCAGGGCTGCAGCCATGCTGCCCACCCCCTCCATGTGCTGCACCACATCTTAAAAAATGTTATCACAGAGGCACTACCACGATCGCTGATTGGCTCAGCCTTGGCCAGAGATGGGTCCAATCTGGAGCCAGGGAAGCTTCTAGCAGCTTCTCAAAGAAGCCACCTCTGTAGCCCCTCCACTGTTACCAAAACCCCACCACACAAACCCAATACAGAAGTCCTGGACAAAACTTTTCCACTCTCCGTCCTCCCAGAGGCAAAATTCTGCTGTACACTTTTCCAACATTACTATCCCATTGCCCATGGGTTATCCTGCAAGCACACATGAAGAGCTTACCTAAAAATGAACCATTAAAAATGATAACTTGTACTACAGCCCAGCTATTTCCCAAAATATAAATTGCAGTTTTAAACCAGATTTTAACCTTCTTCTTACAAGAAAGTTGTTTTTCTTTGGATGATAGGCAAGGGGACTGTAATTGTTGAACAAATACTTAGACCACCAGGAAGGGAGTGGGGTTTCCCCCGTTCTTTTTCTGCCTGGAAGAGGAAAGGGAAGAGGGACAGGAACAGTAAAAAAATAGGTTAATGGAAGATGTAAAGGTAATGTTGCCAAGGGGTAATTACTGTAACAACAACAATAAAAATGCTCAAGAATGTCAGGGGAGCCCAGGGGAAGAGGTAGGGAAGCAAAATGAGGTAATACAGAGAAGGTCCAGTGAGAACCATTGTTTGTACACCCGGCGCTAACGCATGGCTGCACAACAATCTACCTACATCACTGCTATATTTTGCTAGAAGACAGATATTAATATCCTCCAACAGCCTACAAAGCTCAAAATTTAAGGGGAAGGGGAAAGTGAGCATTAAAATATTATAGCCTATATACCAAGGGAGCAGCATAACCATGACACACAGTTTTTATTGTTAGATAGAGGTCAATACCAGCATTCACAGAAGGAACACTTTTCTTTAGTCACTAAATCAACACATCTGTCATTTCATGATCAAGTGGATACTTCATATGAATGACCTTTCATCCAATTTGTTCTGAATTCCCACAATTCTTGGAAAGACAGCTTGTCAATCCATCATCACACTCTACATCCTAGACTGCATTCTCCTTTGTATTACCAGTAGGTTATTGTCTTTTGGTTTTTTGCACTGTAACTCCTCAGTGCCATCCAAAAAACAGCACCTATAGAGTAGGCAACACTTGACTTTACTCCTTAACAATAAGCCAAAGTTTTCCATCCCAGACTGAGTTAACAAGTAATCTAGAATTCACTACTGAAGACTCTTTACTTTCTCAAAATACCATCTGCCAACATCCCAAGAGCAAGAACTCAGCACTGGAAATGGCAGCAGGTGTCTTCCATTATGGAAAACAGTCATCACATCAGCTCCAAGTTAGCAAATAACTGTTTGATAAGACTATACGGTAATAAGCCAAAAAAGTTGCTCCAGGAGTAAAGCACATAGCCTTGCTTCACAATCCATTTTATGGCATTGATACAAGCATCTTAGAAGGCTTTTTTAGTAGTTAGGGCATGCATGGAGAAATCCAATGGTTTGCAGGGCTAAAACAACACAAATAATATCTACTCTTGCTCAAATAACACAAAAAGCCATAAAAAACTATACATGACAGGGACAATTTTGGGGGGGAGCATAGCGGAAGGTACACACATTTACAACTTATAGAGAATCATAGGAGAGTTAACTGACAACAGGATAACCACTTCTTTTAAGACCAGAGTCCAAACAAGCAAAACACATTTAGCTCTGACAGTTATAAATTACTGCTTATCTACACATGACAGATAAAAGTAGTACGCACTTCATATCATTACCAAAGCTGTAGCCTCAGTAATTACACTTAAAGAGGAAACCTGAAAAGGACACACGTAAGTAGGTTAATCAAGAGCATCACTCCAGAACTATCAGAATCACCAGACTCCTTTTTCTACAGCCCATCTACCAGACAACACAAGGTCCAACAGTCACAGTTGGAATTGCTAAATTTTCTGCTGAACTCCTCTTTTTGTTTCATCTGTCCTCTATTTCAGAACCCGATTTCAACTGCATGTACCACAGTGACTGTGGAAGCTAAGAAATAAGATCACAAAAAAAAGAGACAGTGAAAGAGGAGAACTTCAAAGGCATATTCGTGTCTAAACCTATGTTTTGTGCAACATTTAATTGCACCAGCAAACATCATAGACAAAAGAAGTCCTTGTTAAATACTAAGTATCTGTGCCCTTTCAGTTAGGGAGAAAGAGCTCATGATAAATGCCCCGAGACATCCAACAGCAAAGATGTCTTAAGGAAAAATACTACAGTATTCAGGTAGTCTTTATAACTCATATGAATAAAAAGGGGTAATCATACCCTCTCCTTTTAATCTAGCACAAATAGCCTTTAAATAATTCTTCCATCATGTCAATAGGATATATTTTAAACTGTTCTTAAAAGAACACTATCAGTATAAGTAACCTTTCTTTAAATTTCACTGTACTACTAATTTGAGTATTGAACAACACATTTTATCACCCATCATCATCACATTTTACACATCTTTGACAATGAAGAGAGATCAGTCAGTTTCACTATGATCCAGGCACTAGGGTAGGATTTAAGCAATTAATACAGACTAGAAGCAAATACACTGTAAAACCCTAATTTAAGTTTCTGAATGTGTTTTGAAGGCTTAACTTCACATGACCCAGTCTTGAACATTCAGAGGCTTGAACCATACAAAGCTTTAGGTGGCCCCAAAAAAAGCTATCAGGAGCATGACATTTACCCTTGTTACCCTTAACTACTATTTTATCTCTAGTTTCTTTACACTGGGACACAATTAAGGAAACTTAGCCACCGGCACCTCCAGTTGTCTGGAATAACATCTTGAGAAGTGATTTTAAGGGCCAGAAAAGGCAATTGTGACATCTACACTAGTTCCATGTCCTGCACATCACAGGCAGACAGCCTCTGGGTCACAGCATGAAGTCTTAGTCAGATCAAAGTTCTTGCTACACTATTCAGCAACAAGCAGCTGTTTTGAGTAAGCACATAAAAGCTATAGAAAAGATGCGGCAGTTCTACAGTCACTTACACTGCCTCCACAAATGCCAGAAGTTAACCCCTTTTTTCCCCATAACTGAATTGGCTAAGGCGAGAAAATAAATCAGTCGCTGGAAGAGAGCGGGCTCATATTTATCCTCCGAGCCCTCGCTAGCCGGAAGGCTAAATTCACACTGGAAAAGAAAACATGGAGCCACAGCTACATATGGCAGCTAGAGGACACAAGGCTGGCGCTCCGAAGTTGACACACGTTGGGAAGACAGGAGGATGCCGAAGAGAGGAGCGGAGGGAAGGACCTGTTTGAAGCGATCTCACTCGGTCCTGCTCCCACGGGGACCCGCTCGCCGTGCCGCTCCCTTCCCGGCAAGGAAGGGACCTACCTGTGCCGGTGCTCGTCGTGCCCTTGCCCGTGGATGAGGAAGCCGCCGAGGTTTTTGCCCCCTTTGCTGGTGTCCACGTGAGGGATGAGCACATCCTCCAAGCCCAGGTCAAAGCGCTTGTGCTTCGAGGAGTCGGGGAGGAAGAAAAACGCCCCGAAGCACAGGGTGATGAAGGCACTAAGAATAAGGAGCAGGATAAATTTTTCGGAGAGTCTCAAGGTAGCCCTGTGGTGCGGGAAGGCGGAGGCCCCCAGGTTCAGGGGGGGCAGCCTCCGCCCGGAGAGCGGCAGCAGGGCGGGAGTAGTCATCCTTCCGCTAGCGACCACCCAGCGGGGCACGGCT